TCCCGGGGTCCAGGTACGCAGATGCGGTGCTTTGGGCGGAGGTGGGAGCTTTTCTGAGCTGGGAAAACTTCTTGGCAAGCTTTGCCCGTCTCCAGGCACCTGCTGGGCTGAGAGAAGCTAGAGGGCTGGAGAGATGCGAGGGAGAATGGAAAGTAGAAATTAGGGAAACGAAAGGTAAAGCAGGGAAGGGGAAAGAAGAAATCCTGCCCTTTTTTTTTTGGCAAAAATCTTGTTGGTCAAATAAAAGATACCATCTCTACCACCAGTCCCGACTGCCTTTCCCTCTAGACCAATACAGCTACAACCTGCGTCCCTGCCACGCTTTCACTTCTCTCATTCCTTGGCAGACTTTCGATACCAGAAGAAAGGCGATTGCGCCCAAAAGCTTGCAAAGAACAATTTTCTCACCTGTTCATTTGGTCTGATAAAAATATCACATCTGCTCAAAGGACCTTGTCTGCCCCTGTCCTTAGAGCGACGCGGCTACCACCGAAAGCCCAGCGACGCGCAGAGGAGCCCATTCCAGTTTCTGGCTGGCAAACAGGCGCAGAGAGCTGCAGTACAAGTGCTTTAAAAACACTTTAGGGGAAAAAAATGTTTAGGACCTAGCTTGGGGTGGGCAATTATTTTGGGTGGAGGGCCGCTTACTGAGTTTTGGCAAGCCATCCAGGACTGCATGACAGGCAGCCCAGGGGCAGGTAAGTAATTTTCTAAATTTTTTAGGGGCCCCGTGGGCCGGATAGAATGGCCTGGTGGGCTGCATCGTGCCCACCCCCGGCCTAGCTGGACCTACATCTTGCATGATCATCTCAGGGTCATCAAGGTCTGGAGGCAATCTTAAAGGCGATATGTAGGAAGAAAAAAAACACTCCAGACAAGAGGAAGAAGGGTGTTTGTACCCCAAAACTTGCAAAGAACATTTTCCAACTATTTAGTTGGTCTAATAAAAGGTATCACATCTACCCAAAGAACCTGGTCTGCCTAGAGACACTGACACATTCTTCGTCGTGGAACTGGGAGTAAACCGTAAACTGTTACCCAACACTACCTTACAGACATTATTTTTAATTATTTATAACTTTGCCTAACTTCTACTTTTTCACTTGAAAAAAAAAAAAAAATCAATCTGATGGCAGCAAAAATTGTTTTCACAAAAAAAAGTTATTTCTTAGGAGGTGAACAGGCACAACATTCCTTATTTGCTATTTTTCTGCTAGCAGCTTCTCTCTATTCATATAAATGGGTCAGCTGTGGAATTTGGCAGCTGTCATCTAGTGAGAAACCAAGAGGATTTGATATATAGCCTAGAACCCCCAAACCAGGGGCTAATTGTGGTTTCTTCTCTCCGATCCACTGATGAAACAGCATAGATAAAAGAATGAAGCAGCCAAAAATAAAAGAAAGGGCTTATAGGAGTCAGTTTCAGTCCCCATTACTTCATGCCCTGGGGATCTCCAGTTAGCATTTCAATTTGCAATTTTCTGTGCATGCATCTGCATGAGCCTTTATGTATTTTAACCCTTTTCATTATTTTTACTGCATTTCTTTTCCATTTCTCAGGATGATGTGCCAATTATTGGTATTAATCACTCCTTTTAATTTTCCTCCTGAGTAAAGATACTTATGAAGATGTCACAGGAACTTAGGGCAAGCCATCTCCCATTCTTTATGCAGGACTATTAAGATCTATTAGCTTTTTTTTTTTTTTTTTTGAAGGAAGACTTCTTGCACCTAATTATGAAGATCTTTTTCTTTTGGTTATGAAGCAGACCCTGCACCTGGGCTCTGGGGGCCCTAGCCTCTTAAGGGGAAACATTTATATAACATTGTTTCTAGTACATCATTTCCTGTACATTATTTTCATGCTACTTGTAAAATTGGATTTTCCCTTATTTACACATACCAGTGGGCGCATCTACATGAGATGCTAGAGGCGCAGTGGACTAATTCTACCGCACATTAGCATGGCATGAAAAAATGTGCCAATACACAGTAGAAATAGTCTACTGTACATTAGCATCACTTAAAAAGTGTGCGCTGGTGCTAAGGCACAGTAGCACTGATTACAGCACATTAACTTTAGTCAGGTGCTAAAGTTAATGCACCATAATTACAGAGCATTAATGAATGTGTGTAGGTGTGCCCAGTGTAAGAAAAAGCAACAATGATACCAGCTTCAAAGTACCAAACATCATAAACTGTTGCAATGCAATTGTTACTCCTATTAGCTATGCAAACCAGCTAAATCACTAGATTTTTAACTGCTCCATTCAGGGTTGAAGTTAAAACAGCTTTGCTAGACTTGTATCATTATGGGAGTGTAGATACAGCAGTCACATCATAGAGCAGATACACATTTTGGAACAGCAATTCCTTCCCTATTTTAAAGGGGTTGAATTTTAAATTTGTCTACAGACTGAATCTGACACGGACTATGGTCACCAGGCTTACGGAGAATCTTTCCTGAACTCCCCTTCCACTCCAAGCCTAGTGCTGTTTTAATCTTGCTGAACTACCCTTCCACTCCAAGCCTAGTGCTGTTTTAATGCTTGCTTTATGGTCTTTTTTGCAGGTGTAACGGAGGCTTCTTGGTGGTCTATCTTGCCCAACTGAAGTGTCATCTGGGCAACATTTTGTTCCAATGTACTATAGAGTAATCAAAGAAAATTAAAGATGTGCGTTTGAGACTTTGGGATGCTCTCTGACTGTTGTGCTCCAATCCCTTGGAAAGCTTGCTACCATGGGAAGTATACACGTCTACACTGAGTTGACTTCCAGCAACCTGTTGTGCCATCCTAAAATACTCCTTTGTGGATAGCCATGCCTTCTAGTTGCTTGCAGAAGGCAGGTGACGTTATTCACTCTGGTTCGGGGACCAAGCAAGTAGAGGTACTTGTATAGATGTAATTGTAGAAATAGGTTACTGGAAGACTGAAGGAGCTTGCAAGAATGCTAAGCTGGCTAGCTAGCACCCATTGGGCACATCTACATGAGATGCTACGGCAACATAGCTGGTCACTATGGCAACATAGCATCAGTAGGCACTAACCATAATGGTGCCACTACTGAACAGTAGGGTTGAAAATAATCTGTGCACCACTGGGACTATGCAGTATTGTGGGCACTGCAGTCAGGGGCACATGTAGATGCGCCCACTGAGTACCTCAGACTACTCATGTTCCTGGCTTTGTAGATGCATGACTTTACAAAAGCCTGAGCTGAAGCACAAGGCTTAGTCTTGGAGCTGCAACATCACTGGACCACACCCAGTTATACAGGAGGAGGGCCTTAACTCGGTTGTAATATAGGAGGAAAGCAGCTGTAAAGCATATACAGATGCTTCTGAAGCACATACACTCTTCCTGCACTTCCCAAGTCCTTTCCTTGTTGTCGTCCAGCTTTTTGTTTCCCGTTGTATTATCATGCGATGCTGCGGCTAGTAAAGCGACCAAAACACTGGCTTGCATCCCTGGATGCTTCTCAAGCAAATCCCGGGATGTTTTTCTCCCCTTGTACTCGGCCTTAGCGAAGCCGCAGCTGGAGTACTGCGTCCAGTTTTGGGCTCCACAATTCCAAAAGGATGTGGAGAAGCTTGAGAGAGTCCAGAGAAGAGCCACGCGCATGATCAGAGGTCAGGGAAGCAGACCCTACAATGACAGGCTGAGAGGCCTGGGGCTCTTTAGCCTGGAAAAGCGCAGGCTCAGGGGGGATCTGATGGCCACCTACAAGTTTAGAAGGGGTGACCACCAGTATCCAGGGGAATGTTTGTTCACCAGAGCGCCCCAAGGGATGACGAGGTCGAATGGTCACAAACTACTACAAGACCGTTTCAGGCTGGGCATAAGGAAGAACTTCTTTGCTGTCCGAGCCCCCAAGGTCTGGAACAGCCTGCCACCGGAGGTGGTTCAAGCGCCCACATTGAACACCTTCAAGACGAAACTGGATGCTTATCTTGCTGGGATCCTATGACCCCAGCTGACTTCCTGCCCTTTGGGCGGGGGGCTGGACTCGATGATCTTCGAGGTCCCTTCCAGCCCTGATGTCTATGAAATCTATGAAATTTTTGGTCCTTCAAAATAGGACTTTTAATTTTTTTTTTAGCCTGATAAAGGAACAAGACTTCAGTAGTGACCTCCATGATACCTGTCAACACCTGTGACAGTAGCAGACTTGCGAACAGCGAGCAGTGAAGAATAGAGAATTCGGTGCACCACACTTCCTTAGTTTTTATTTCTTCCTCTCGTGTCCATTTTTGACAGAAACTTGATACAAAAGAATAAAAAGTATTTGAATTAAGTTGTTACTTAAAATGGTTGAAGAATGACATACCTGCTTTTCAGTCTTGAATTAAGACTAAAATATCCTGAGGTTAGAGTATTGAAGAAACAAATCAGGTATGATGCAACTTTAAATCGAGCAACACGCAGAAGCTTAACAAACAGTAGCTGTGATAAAAATGTATGGCTTAAAAAAATCCCAAAAGATAAAAAAAAACACAAAAAAGCAAAAACAAAACAAACCCTGTTGTCCCTTAAAAACAGATTTCTCTCTAAACTGGAGGGGAGGGAAAAAACACTACCACCCCCTTAAACGCACATGAATTATGCAGTCAGACTCCTGAAAGAATACATCGGCTTTCAAACACAACTGTACTTTGCTCCTTACTGCATATGGCTCTATGCTACTACTCATCAGTTACATAATGCCTAACTTCAAGCAAATATGAGTGTTTTGTGTTTTTTTTTTTTATTAAAAGAGAGAATGAGATAGTTATCCGATCTCTCTCTCCTCCCTTTATGCACAAGCTTGTTTCTAACAATATATTGTCAGCAGTATCTTGCT